AATGCCAGGCACATATTAGGCACTCAATATGTATATTTGAAAAATTACACTGACGATCATACTTTCTCCAAAAAAAGACAAAGAGAAGGGAAGAAACAGGGAGAAATTCAAAAAATTCTCTATTAAGCTAACCTGCATTTTCCTGAGAAATACTACAGTGATACATTTTTATAATATTACTGAGCTCAGACATGAATCATAAAATGAAAAATGGAGGGCTTCCCTGGTGGTGCAGTGGTTCAGAATCTGCCTGCTAATGCAGGGGACACAGGTTCTAACCCTGGTCTGGGAGGATCCCACATGCCACGGAGCAACTAGGCCCATGAGCCACAACTACTGAGCCTGCGTGTCTGGAGCCTGTGCTCCGCCATAAGAGAGGCCTCAATAGTGAGAGGCCCGCGCACCGCGATGAAGAGTGGCCCCCGCTTGCCACAACCAGAGAAAGCCCTCGCACAGAAACGAAGACCCAACACAGCAAAAATAAATAAATTAATAAAAATACATTGGTGTCTGAGTCTCACACCCAAGATTCTTAAAAAAAAAAAAAAAAAGAACAATGGAATTATTACAAAAGCAGAACAGGTATACTGTTACTTACCTTCTTTAACTTGGTTAATTTCCTAGGTAGTAGTAGCTAGGTATCTGGCATCTAGAATAAGTGTCTTATTATTGTTGTTATTACTGTACTTTCAAAGCTATAAATTGACTTGGATGAAATCTAATTCTCCCCAATCTTTCCCAATGCTGTTACTCAACATAAAATCATCACTGTGGCCAACAGGCATAAAGGGAAAGAAGACGTGCGCTTGGCTAATATTTGCAATTCCTTTTCTGTGGTTATTCACCTAAGCTTGCAGAGGCAGAAACACCATGCTTTCAGGAAACTGTCTAGTTATAAAGGCCTCAGGAAGAAGGAAGAGACTGCCCAGACTGTAAGCACCAAGATGAAAGGAATTCCATCTTGTTTTTGCCACTGTCGAGTGGCATTCGAGAAGGTATTGTAAGGATGGGGGTAGACAATAAGGGAGTGAATTCTTTCAAGACAATTTAAACAATAATAAAACCAACTCAATGGATCTGTTTTTTGTTATCAACACACGCTGGCAAGGCTGAACAATGTCGGTGATGAAATTCTCTTCAACTCTTGGGCAGACCTCAGCTCCACCCTGCCCATCCCTTGGACACTGTTCCACTGACACTGTTCCCGGTACCCCATACGTTGCCTGGCACATAACATGTACGAATTATAGGGAAAAATGCTAAAGTGGGAAATAAGGATATAGAATTCCCCTTCCCCCACCATTCCTTTGCTGTCTTTTCCCACTGGTTTTTTTGAAAACATGAAAACCATACTTTAAACTTCCCATGGTACTTTGTACATCCCTGGCCCTTATTAAAATCCTGTGCTAAATTTCAGATTCCACAGCTCAAGGAAAATGTCCACTCAGTGAGGACAAGGCAAAGTAATGAGGAACTGCTGGCTAATGCGATGTGTGGGAAAAGTCCAGAAAGACCTGAGATTATGGACCTGAACAAGAGAAGGTGAAGGGTTGAAGTCTGCACACAATGTAGTGCATTAAGTGTAGGATGGTGACCAGATCACCTCGTTTTTCCCAGGATCAGAGTGGACTTTATGGATAACAGAGGCTCTATGTCACGGTGTCTTTCTAGCATCAAGAAGTAAATGGATTCCAGAAGTCTTAGTTCCCCATCCTCCTGCTAATCCAAGCAGGATGGGGAAGTGTGTTTTCCACTAAGATCAATCTGCAGTGACTGTTATATACTTTCTGAAGCATTAGAGTCACCTGTATACTGCTTAGACGGTAGAGGAAGGATGATTCACAGAGATCAAAACCACTGGGGAACTTTGGACGTAATGATGTGTCAAAATAGGTTAACCGATTGTAACGAAGGTCCCGCTCTGCTGGGGGTTGTCAACAGCGGGGAGGGTTGTGCATGTGGGAGCCAGGGGTACGGGGGACTTCTATGTAGTTTCTGCTCGATTTTGCTGTGAATCTAAAACTGCTCTAAAATAGAAAATCCTTAAAAAAAAAAAAAAAAAGTCAGTTGGAGAGGATGGGGAGAATTATTGCCAGAGCATAAAGGAATTCATTCATTTGTGTGGTGCTTTAAAACTTACAAAGTTTTTTTCTCTCTTGGGATCCTGTGAAACTAGAAGGACAGGTGGCATTATATCCATTTTACAAGATGAGGAAACTGAAGCTTACAGAGTTAAAGTAACTTGTCTTAGTACAAAGAACAAATGATCATCCAAGTCGGGTCTTGAAACCAGTCTTCTGATTCTAAGCCCAGTGACCGTTGCACTCACCACCTGTATCTCTAATGATTCACAAGCTTTCAGAAAAAAAAATCTTCTATCTGTCCTGGATTCGAGGTTCAAAGTAAATGTTTCATCAATTGTCAATGTAATTAAGACAATAAGAGAAAGAAATGTAAATAAAATCACGACAGAAAAGATTATCCAAACTATAAGATAATCCAAACTATGTACCCTTTAAAAAATTCCAGACAGCTAAGAGGACTATTCTGAAATCACCAGCATATTACCTATGCTGGTAATGGATGGGGAACCTAAAGGCTCCAGATCATTACTAGGCGATGAAACAAATTCATGATTTCTCAGGATTGGTAAGCTCCAAAATGAAGTCCCCGGGGAAACCAGGAGCAAAAATAATGCTCCACATACTAGATGTGCCTGGACCTTAGGACACAGGCTCATTAACCCAAAAGGCAATAAGTTTATGTATATTAATTCTAACTTTTAATAATAATTAAAAATAACTAATACTTATTGAGAGTTAATTTTGTACCAGGATTTGTTCTAAGTGCTTTGTACTTTTCTGAGTTTTTAGTGAATAAAAATTAAATTTGCTCTGCAATATCATGATACCCTTTGAAGTAATCAGACAGTGTCATCAGCACCAAAGACTGGGGACTTGCCACTCTTGGTTCTATAACCCTGGTCCTCGCTTCATCAAGAGGGAATGAGGTGACAGCCTGACAGTTGTCCTGTGAATTAAAACCAGACCAACAGAGGAATGTACACATTCCCTTTAAAATCAATAATTTAACATAAAGCAGCTCTCCAAATACGTTAAGCCTTTTTGCCTTAGAAGCAGAAATGTGGTAGAGCTTATTTCAGAGACCAGCCTCTCGGTATTTCAAAAACATGATTTCTAAGAAGCTTTTACCACCATACAATTCTCTAACATTAAGCTTCTTCTATGTTGCCAATAATTTCAAGGAACAAGAGGCAGGTATATAAAAACCAATGACATCTCACATCTTTTGAGGGTGCACATCAGAGATGCAGTAATAAGATATCTATCAGGTTTTGGGGGGTGATCTGAGCCCTAAACTGGACACACATAGATGTTCATTTTTAGGTAAAAATGCAAAAGAAATAATTCCTTCGTAATGTCCTCTGTGATACTCCCGCGAGCATTCTTTTTTTCTTTCATCTTCTTGTTAATGTCTGATATCTCCTTTAAATAGGATAGACTCTTTTCTGAACCAGTGATGAATTCTAACATGCAAGTACCTGCAGAGGTAACAATGACTGACATCTACAATAAGATGCATAGTCTGCATCAGAGCAGAGGTTCACCTCAGTGAGATTATGGTGGCACGACTTCTCAGGTAAGGCTTAGGGGAGGAAGCAGGACAAGGGTCCGGAAGACGACCATCTGACTGCCCCGATCACCGTCTAATTAATCAGTCTTTCCTTGCATTGCTCTGGCTTCAGGAACTGCTTATGACAAGTGACTGCTCTCTGGAAACATTTAAGGTGACTGGTGCAGGACCTCTTGTTAACTTGGAAGGAGAGACGGCGGGTGGTCTTTATCCTGCTTTGAAAATGTATTCTGTTTATTCCGACAGAAGTGTAATATCTCAGTTACAGGCTCAGTCAAGTTCCCTACTCGTTGGTCATCTCGGAGTCACCCCATCAGCAATTCTGTGCCCCCCAAATCACAGCAGTGTTCTGTGGAGCAAGTCCCTGACCTACTGAATCATCAATCCTATTTCCTGCGAGCACGTCCCAGGTCCTGACCAAAGGATTCTCTGAGCAAAAACACCCAGACATGGTAATTTCTATCCTCACAAAAGATAATACAATTTAAAGAAGACTGTGGAAGGCTAAAGGGCGCACAGGCCCCAGTGCACTAAAATTTTCTATTGAGCAGAGCCACCTAGTGGTAGAATGGAATATGGGTTTTTAAAAATTCTAATTTAATTTCTCTCATATAACAAAGCAATTCAGGCGGGGTTTTCTTTTGTTTTGTTTATGTTCATTTTACTCACTCTTGTTTACAGTTACCCCTTTGAGATTGTCACCTCCATCTGTTTTCCTTACCAAACATCTACTCATCCAAGGTCAACAAACCTACAGTTTGTCATAATCAGAAAGTTTTAGGACTAAAACAGAAGTCGACTCAACAGTGTCTCTTTAGAAGGGCAAAAAAATGTCACTACTAATTTATTTCTAGAGATAAAGAGTCACTAGGATATTTACTTTGTACCTTTCTATTTTCCAAAACTCACACTTCCGTTTCTCCATACACCCATGAAAACTGTCACATAAAATTTATAGGCACAGGGACTTCCCTGGTGGTCCAGTGGTAAAGAATCCACCTTCCAATGCAGGGGACATGGGTTCCATTCCTGGTCAGAGAACTAAGATCCCACATGCCGCAGGGCAGCTAAGCCCGCACGCCACAACTACTGAGCTGGCGCCCTGAACTACAGAAGAGAAAACCCGCACACCACAACTAGAGAGAAGCCCGCGTACCACAACAAAAAGCCCATGTGCCAGCAACTAAGACCCGACGCAGCCAAAAATAATAAAATAAATAAATGAATAATAAAGAAATCTTTTAAAAAAATTTATAGGCACAGAGAAGGTGAGCAAAAGTCCTCAACTGTGGTCTCCAATCTCCCTCTCCCAAACATATATATTCTGTGGTAGAAATTAGAAGTACCTTGGGTTGCTGTGGTTTGGTTCCTTTTCTTCCTCTAAAGTAGGTAAACACTCATAGTTGGCTAGGACAGAATAAAAGCAAGCTCATTGTTAGTCACTAAAATTCTGTTTTTCATCTACAAAACTCGTGCAGTTGAGTATCACATTTCTCTGATCTGTATGGTTAGTTGTGCAGAAATGGCCTCACCAGGGAGTTTCAGAGGTTAAAAGATTAATGACGGCAAGGCTCTTGAAATGAAAAAAGCACTAACAGCACAGATACAAGACTTCAACGTGCCTCTGGCCCCGTTGGAAAGGGCACAATTCATCACTGCTTGGTTATTCAGTCCCTGAGGAACACCACTGGGGCTCCAAAGGCTAGAATCTGCATGGATCAGAGTAGACACTGGAATAAAACGGCTTCACCCAAGGTCCTGATGTGTCTGCAGAATGATTTCAGTCTGGAGGCACAACAGGAAAGAAGCAGGTAAAGTGGGGAACAGCCGACCTTGTTAAAGTCATCAGAATTCTCTCCTATTACACGACTGCTGTTTTCAAGGGGGAGAAAAATCCATTGGATCTATCACCTACCTATGTGTCAAAGCCACTCTCTGCCTTAGTTGTCAAATGGAAATGGCTTTTTCCAGATTTCTGGTTTTAGTGAGTGCAACAGGATCATGATTTTATATTACAATTATCTCAGTCACAAAAGGAAATACACCAAAATATTAAGAGAGCTTGGTTCTGGGTGATGGAACACTTTTCTTCTTCTTTCTTTTTTTTTTTGCATTTTCCAAATTCTACTGTGTACGTATATTATTTTTATAAACTAAAAACAACAAAATGAAACTACTTTAAGGACTATCTCAATGACCCACCCCATCCTCAAATGCTTTACAGAACCATTCTTCCCTCAATATTGGACTATGAAAAACTGTTCAAAATTGTACAATTTAGTTAAATGGTTCTCATCTTTTGGAAAGCTCATCTTGATGAGCCTCTGGTACAAAAATTCTAACACCAAGCCTCTGGATTTGAGAACTCCATTGTAGATTGTTGAATCTGACAGCTCCCAGGGTATTTTCTTTAAGATAAATGTTAAAAATAAAAATAATATAATATAAATAGTAGATTGTATTAATTTAGCATGAGCATTAAAATAATTTATTGATTTTTTTAAAGGAATCAAAAATAGAAAAAATAGCTGTCATCATTTTTACATCTAAATGTTGATTTAATGAAAAGTAAGGGACATATACTACAATTACTGCCAGATATCAATTGGAAATTAAGTTATAATTGGATATTTATATTACTATCTCTATTAGTGCTGTCCAGTAGAACTTTCTACAATGAAGGGAGTGTTCTAGATTTGCACTGTCTGATATAATAGCTGTTAGCTATTAGGTGGCTACTGAGCCCTCAAAATGTGGCTGGAATGAGTAAGGAACAAAATTTTAAATTTCATTTAATTTTTTAAATTTTAAGTTAAATAGACATATATGGCTAGTGCCTACTAGACAGACAGATCTATGTAAACTGTATTTGATAAAGTTTTATATTTATATAAAGATTACAATCACAGATCTCTAGATTCTATAATATATCAGATAATGCCAGATGGTAAATTTTCCAGATAGTTTGGTTTCAAGAGATTTCCTTGCTCGAATATAAGATCATTTTCAAGAAGAAAAAGGTCATTTGAAAAACTTGTGCAAAAATACAAGAGTGGCAACCATTGATGCAATAATTAAACTGCATATTTAAGGATGGTCAGACGCCTCCGCTTACTTCGTGCATGTGCCAGATGTAATGTGGGTGGGCTCACAGGGTCCCTCCAGGACTCATGGCATAGTTACAAAGTGGGGGCAGCCTTCTCTTACCAGAGAGCACAGAAAAAAACACCTTAGGTTATTCCACACCACATACCATTTTTATTCATGCTGTTCATCCACTTATCAAGCTCTTCCATTTCAATTTCCATCACAGAGGGTGTGTCTTCCTCAAAAATAGGGCTGAAGAGAGAAAATAAAGAGCTTGTTGGAAAAAACAAAACAAAAAACAAAACCAACATGTGTGATGTGCTAAATTTCGTTTGAGGAGCGCCTAGGATGTTGACCGTTGGCTGTGAGGAAGACGAACTTGATTCAGCGTCTTACACTCCAGGGTAGGCTGGGGGTTTGTCCTATTCAAGAGGACCAACCTCTAGTAGGAAAAAAGGCAAAAATGAAAATAAACCGTCATCCATTACTGATGATGGGCTGAAAGGCAGCCCAGAGACTCTGCTCCTCCGGAAGGTACCAAGCCCGAGACTCCTCCGGGGAGTTGCCACATTTAGCATTTTAGCCTTGCTCAATTTCACTTCCCTTTCTTTGGGGGTTTTTGATCAGTGCTCCAGGTCCAGAGGCCACGGTCAACAGGCTACTCTCATCACCTCGTCCTTCCATTCCCAGGCTTTCCTGCCTTGAAGAAATGGAGCCCTTTGTGCTCAAAAATCCACTGTCCTCCCTAGCCGGGGCTCAGCGCACAGTTCAGGGGAGAAGCCCAGGTTAATGTAGGTGGGGTTGGGGGAGGGGACCACCTGCTCTGATCGCTGTGCTGCGTAGGCGCCACCCTGCAGAGGAAGCCAGCCTAGTGTCCAAATAACCGTGGGGGGGGGGAGGGGGGGACAGAGGTGGTGGTGACATCGCCCCAGGCCACTCCTCCGGGTGTCATCCTCTCTTCCTCTCTCTCCTCCACCCCCTCCCGCCACCTCCATTCCTCTTCTCGCCCCCTCTCCCCACGTTGCACTGCTTCTCAACATACAAACCTCAGGCTTCTACCAGGGCTCCCCTCCCTTAATAACCAGCTACAGTCTCTTCCCTGGAGATAAAATTTTTATTCAGAATAAATGAACGGATGTCCTTGAAATACACCCAGCGTCAGCATACTCAACCAACAATGCATTTGGAATCAGTAGCAGTCAGAAAAAAAGTTCTTTTCTGAACAAAGGACCTTGCCCTCCTCTCAGATCTCCCCTGAGGTGAGGTGTGCGCACTCGGGCACATCCTCCTGGGGCTGGGGAAGCCAAAGGTCCCCGGAAGGGGTGTCAAACCCAAAACTCTTGAAAAGCCGGCTCTCTAATCTGTTCATCCCCCGACATCCTGGCCTATCCCGAGCTGGACTGGACGCAGTGGGGAACTTACACTTTCATGTTTTCACTTCCCAGGTCATCTATAAGAGAGTAAATATAAAAGTCATGTTAACATTCAGTGTGTGTAACAACTTATTATTTCCAACAGCTGAAATCTCCTCTACAAAGAGAGGAAATTACTTCAAGTAGATAACGTTTTGAAAGGAGCAGTAGTTAACCTCTATGTCAAACAAGGGCAGACTGCCATATTGAAATGAGGTCCCATCCACGTGAAATCCGTTCTTTTAGATCTGGTGGTCCTCTGGGAGCATTCACTTCACAGCGGATGTCCACCCCTCTTGACTATTTTTATCCGTCGGAAGAGGAAAACAGTGGTAAGATGGAGAAAGGAGGAGTTGAAAAGAGGGCTTGTTCCCGGGCCCCCAGATGTGCCAGTTCAAACCACTGCTGTCTCATCTCCTTGCAACACACAAAACCAAACGTGACACTGTCCCTTTGTCCCGGAGTAGGACGTGGGCTATCAATCACCAGCTCCCCCTGGAACTCTTCTCTCACCCTGCTCTTTGTGTGGGTGGATCTCTCACAACCTTCTGGTCTCAGTGAAACCAAGCCCCCCCTAAAATAGAAGGTCCCCTACCAAGTTTATGATTAATCTCTCTAACCAAATCTTCATTCCCCTTCTTGTTCCCTCTGACCTCAGTCCTGTGCTAACTGAACACTAACCAACCAGAGTCAGATGACTAAAACTGCTGTTATCGATAACATCGTTAATGCACTAAAATTGCTGTTGTAGATCTCATCATTAAAGCACAAACTCAGGTTGTTTCTCCAGGGCAAGTGGTGCTCACAGACCCCCAGCCATGGACCACCTCGTCAGAGAATCGTAAACCAGAAACGTCCTGACTCCCAGAATCGTGATTAAGAAATGTCACAGAGGGCTTCCCTGATGGCACAGTGGTTGAGAGTTCGCCTGCCAATGCAGGGGACACGGGTTCGTGCCCTGGTCCGGGAAGATCCCACGTGCCGTGGAGCGGCTGGGCCCGTGAGCCATAGCCGCTGAGCCTGCGCATCCGGAGCCTGTGCTCCACAATGGGAGAGGCCACAACGGTGAGAGGCCCGCGTACCGCAAAAAAAAAAAAAAAAAAAAAAAAGAAATGTCACAAGACGATGATTAATCTCAGCTTCTTTGTTCTTCTTTAAAAACACCCCTAACTCAATGATCAAGTTGGACTGGATCTGAGGCTTGTCTCCCACCCCCTTGCTTGGCGCCCTGCAATAAATCCTTCCTTTGCTACAAACTCTGGCTTCCTTTGCTCTTTCAGAGCTTGGCTTCCTGCACCCTGGGCACTCGAGCCCTTTTCCCAGTTACATCAGCTTATACTCTTTCCTCAGAGAGGCCTCCCCTACCTCCTCTGTCTGAAGTAAGGCTCATCTTTCCTACTGCTTCCCAGCTCAGATCCTCCTGTGCTCCTCCATAGTGTCTGCCACAATTCGTCATTGATCAGTTTCTCTGTTTAACTCTTTTTTGTCTGTCACTCCCACTAGACCATAGCTGCCAAAGGGTGGGGAATCATGTCTGCCTTGTTCATGGTGGCATCCCCCAGCCCTACCCCATCCAGCTTGCACGGTACCTACAAACACCCCGTAAACACTTATTGAATAAATGAATAGGTCTTAATCTGGATTGTCCAGCCCTGGGGTTAAATTCGTGCCCAATGTTTTGGATTTAGCATTCTCATAATAGTGAAACTTCCAACAAGCCTGCTTTTTGTTGCTGTTAGTTGAAGTGAGTCAGGTAACAGTTTGCAAAATGGCTTGAATGCTGACCAGACTCCAGATGAACACAGGCAAGAATTAGAGCCCAGTGCTCAAACTCTGTTTTGTTTGGCAGGGGAACCAATGCACCCAGAGAAACGAGGCAATGATGGCCAGCGAGTGGATAGCACAGCCCCACTGCACCTTTTATGATGTGAAAACCACTGAGAAGCAAACCACTTTGTAGAGGTCCACCAAATAGTCAAATGGTCTCGATCCTTAGCCATCAGAGGCCTCCTTTGTCTGGCAGGCAGAGGTGCAGGTCCTCAGCGAGGGAACACAACCAGCAGGCACCTGGAACTGAGCTCCTGGCAGCCGGGAGCTGCTGTAATTTCCTGTGGGTTGGCAAGCTTTAATGGCACCGCTAACCCAGGAAAGTTGGGCACAGATGTCAGTTTCATGCCATCACTGCTTCCCTTCGAGGGGCTGTAGGTTGTGTCCTCCTGCCTCTCGGAAGGAATCTGAAGCTTTCTGCAGGTGCCTGACTCCTCAGACACTTAAATTGGGGAAAGGGGAGTATGTTCATCTCATTTTATATCCATGCATTTTTCATCTAAAATGTACAGGCTATTTCCTTAAGGGATTTTACTATAAATAAAGCCCCTATACAGCTGAACCTCCCTTACAGGTGACCCATAAAAATGCCCCTGTTTTGTCCCTCCCGCCTTCCCTTCCCTCTTTTC